GGGAGGGGGAGGGATAAAAGGCAATAAACCAATGGATGTCAGATCCAGCTTTTCTTCCCAAACCTGTTCTCTCAGAATCTGTTGAGGCCAAGTGGTTCAAGTGTCTATGTGGGATTCTAAGCAAAGAATCCAAGCAGGAAATGCAGGACTGCATTTTAAAAAGTTAATCCAACAGATCAATAATTACCACATTATTTACTTCAAAACAGACCATTTGATCTGCTGGCTATGAAATGTGGTTTTTACTCTCTACAATGGCTTGAAGCCTGGCGCTTTCCATTGAATTAGCTTCCCCTTTTTAAATGCAGAGAATTCAATTATGCCTCACTTCCGGTTTGCAAACACTTTGAAGTAATAAAAAGCAGAGGATGGAAATAGCCACTTAGGATGATGAAAAATGACTTTAAAACCGAGTAGCCCATTTCTGTATCTCTCAACCAATCAACCATATTAACTTGAAAGTTTTGGAAAAAGGATGGGTTGGCCAATTTATACAAATATTAAATTTAAAAAGAGAAATGTGAGTTAAAAGGGACTCCTGTCCTTTTCCCACACTTCTGTGATCTCGAAGCTTTGAAGTAGCAGAATGGAGGAGTCTGATTTTTGATTTGATATTTTGATTCTCCCTGCCCTCCCCCCCACTGATTTCCATGACTACTTCTACTTTAAAGGGAAGATTGAGTATATCTTTGCAGGCAGTGGGTGTCTAGGTTGCTAATGGAAGATGATGGACAGTGAGGATGGCATTGAACAAATACAGGCCTAGAAACTCTAAGAGTGGTTTCACTGCCATAGTGTCCTGATTCTTTAGAATGAGAGTTTCCTGCCATTGCTGGGTGGGGCAGGGATGATGTACGGAAGGGAAGATGAGATGGAAGACTGTAGAACCAGCATCAGAAACATACTTTTTATGAATTGGGCAAACAATTTTTGATATGCATTAAGTAGACATAGCTAGTCAAATATTCATCCCTCAAAGTAGCAGTCTCCTGTTCTCTGTTGGACTTTAAGGGACATTCAGAATATTGGAGAAGAAATCGTGAGCCTTAAATTGTCTTTTTCCTCAGTATCTTCCTGAAGGAAATCGTCTCACCCGCCTTTCTCACCAGAGGAGGAAGCCTTGGCTATTCCTTCACGGGGAGTGTGCAAAGTTCATAATTGGACTAGGGGAAGGTTCCCTGACCCAACGTTATCAGATATTTGGGCCTCACCTCTGTATAGTCAATTGACTGGATGGTGCCATTTTACACAGTATGGGCCATCTCTCCAACCACAGAGTGAAGCTAGATTCTTTTAATTCTGTATTTAATATTATGATCCAGACATGGAAGAGTTAAAAAAATATACTATTTATGAACCAACTCTCTGAGGGCTCATATGAACCTCTGTGAGTAATTGAAGGGGCAGTTCTACAGATGAGTGATGGTGTTATTCACTTGAAGAACTGCCATCATCTGGAGGAAAATGAGCGGAATCCATATTCATGACTCACTTCTGGGTCTTGGCTGGCTTCTCCGGCTTCTCATTATATGGAATGACAAGGTCAGCAGCCGTGTCTGGCTTCTGGAGGAGAATTCCCAACTTGATCTTAATCTCCTTGGCCCTGAAAGAAAAGATGTAAAGAAGTGAGAATAGCACATGGCCATACAGACCTAAAAGAAGTTATTTCTTTCTGCATCAGAGGAAGAAAAATGAACAAAACCTCCTTTCACTTCTTGTTGCAACAAAAAGAACATCAGTGTAGAAATTCAGACACTTGCATTTCCAACAATTAGTGTTTACTAAGCTCTTATTAAGCCTCTGATTAATTTGCATTATTTTATTTCATTCTTAACTGTTTTATTTATATGTTCTCATTTTTATATGGCACGTGATATATTAATATTCCCATTTTGCAGATGAGAAAACTGAATGCCAGGGAGTTTCATAACTTAATACAACATAGGTAGTATATGGTGGAGCCCAAGTAGTTTATCTCTAGGATTCCCAGGTGTAATTACTAACTGTACTATCCACCAACATCCCGAGCACCCAGCTTCTGGCCATCAGTTAAATGGATTACATTTGAAGAACAACACAATTTTTAAAAAACTGACAGATCTCAGTTCCCTTCCTATAAAATGACAGAGTAAAGCTAGATGTCATTGTAAGCTATTTCCAACCATAAAATTAAATTATTTTGTTTGATGGTTGATTGCTCTATAAATGCTTGCTCACTGTCCCTTTATGGCTTTGTGCTAGTGCTACCCACCACTTCTTTATGAGTTTATACTTTAACCAGACCATGGAAATCACCACTTCTTTATGAGTTTATACTTTAACCAGACCATGGAAATTGTGTGTGTGTGTGTGTGTGTGTGTGTGTGTGTGTGTGTGTGCGCGTGTGTGTGTGTATGCATGCGTATATGTGTGTGTTTGAGAGTGTGTGGCATGAACTTGTCATAACACATGTGTTGAGGTTGTGTGTGTGTGCGCGCGTGTGTGTGTGTATGCATGCGTATATGTGTGTGTTTGAGAGTGTGTGGCATGAACTTGTCATAACACATGTGTTGAGGTCAGAGGACAAATGTGGGATTCAGTTCTCTCCTGTCACGTTGCTGATAGAAACTTTCTTGTTTCTGCCACTCTGAGTACTCCGACTTCGACGACCTGTGACAGTCCAGGTGATTCTCCTGTCTTCTCTACTTTGTGTCTCACCACAGGAGTGCTGGGATTACAGACATGAACCATACCATCGGCCCTTTGTATGTTCCAGGGATGGAACTCAAGTTGTCAGGCTTGCTTGGCAAGCAATTTTAACAGTGGAGCCATTTACTAGCCCAGAAATCATCATCTTAAGCACTAATTCACAGGACACGTTGTATATTAGGAGAGCCCAGGCTGTCCTTCCCTTGTTGCTGTGATCCTCTACACACGCTTTTAAGATAGGTTTTAGTTTGGTTTTTTTAATCTTACTACATTACAGTTATTGATTTGTGCCTGTTTTCCAAGCTGGATAGGAGAGCCCAAAGTAAGAACTGAGTCTTAAATACCTTTTAATCTCTGTGCCTGGCGCAGTTCCTTGGCAACCTAATAAACATTCAATAGTATTTGCCAACGTGAACTAAAATTATCTTGGTTTTGTTTTTCATGAATCTGCTATTATTTGTCTCCAAGTCAAGGCTAATCATAACCGAAGTCTTAAAGAACTATGATGGAGTTCATATTGTAACCAGGCTGGATTTGGTATTACAAACACACTTTCTTCATTTATCTATAGAGAGAGGGCAAAGAAGTGATTTAAGCAGAGTGCCCAAGGTTAGCAATTATGCCTATTAGAGACTAAAAATTAAGCTTTTGTAACTTACAAAACCCACAAATACCTAATTTTTATACCACACTGCCTTTTAGTTAGGTAAACGTCATTTTGAAGCTGACTTAGAACTAGTTATCTCTGCAGCATCTTTTCCGTGGTGTTTCTTTTTGCTTCTATTCTTTCTCTAGAACCTTCTCACTAACTGAAGCCAGCTCTGGTGGTCTGCCACATCCAGTGGAGCTCAGCTGAACAGAACATTATGGTAGAAACTGGGGGTGTTCTGCTGAGCGTGTGGCTCATGTAACAGTGAGTAACATGTATTCCTTTGATCCCAGAGTTTACAGGTTACTTAAATTATCTAATGCCAAGACGTTAAATTTAAGTTTTTCTGTCTTGGAACTAGAGACTGAAAAATGGAATGCTTTCAGAATTTCAATGAAATGTCCTGACTCATGTGAGTCACTGAACACAGACCTGGCAGTATGCTTCTGTTTTGCAGCTTTAGCGTGTTTCTTTCAAACGGTTTTAACCCGTGTTTCCAGCTTCAGGCACCAAATTGAAAGATCAAAAAAATTACATGTTATTTTAAAAAACATCAAAACTTCCACCTTGACTGTACTAACTCTGGAGGCAAAATTTTCCAAGATTATATTTATCTGGAATATGAAAACATTGACTATGGAGTGGGAAACGATGCAGTGCGTGTGGCTGCCCTCTACTGGCCCGTGCCTAGTACTACAATCAGATGCAAGGTCCATTGTTTCTCCCAGGGCACTCAACCCCAGCTGTGAAGGGCTTCATCCGGAACCACGGCGACTGCACAGGCCTCTCCACTCACATAAACCTCTCCTGTGTTGGGGTTTTGTGTAGAGAGTCCTTTAGACTTTTGACTTTTTAATTCTTTTCGATTTCTGTTTCTTTTCCCTTTCCTTCTTTTGCCTCATATGAGCCAGCTGCTTTTGTAAACAGCAGAGAGAGATACTGTATAATCTCTGTGCAAGAGTAATAGTCACACATTAAAGGGGAGTTAGAGCAAAGCAGTCGGGTGTTTTAAAGGTGCTCGTTTATTCATTTACGTATTTCCATCATGTTTGAGGTGTCATATAGCACAGGGTAAACTTACAAAGACTCATAGGTCTTGGTCTTTGCTTTCAAGGTGCCTGGAGCCTATCACAATATTACACTGAGATTTTTCAGAAAGCAGCAGGTCCTGGTTGAATACTAGTTCCCACCAGGACAAGTCCCAGGGACTTCTCAGAAAGCAAAGAGAGTTGGAGATTGATCACAGCAACTGGGCCAGAAAGGGACTGGCCTTTCTTGGCAGAGAGAAGGGCAGGTGTGTGGATTATTTGATTGTAAAACATGATGTGGCAATCAGAGAACCTTATTGGATGATGCCATCCTATTTGTCCTCCTCTTCCTGGAGGAAAGAAGGGTGAAGAAAAGCATCCATGCTGCACCTAGCCTGTGGTAAATCTGGCATGAGCACCAGAAAGAAGTAAAGCTATTGAAAGGGCTCTGTGAAGACTATTTCCATGCATGCAAAGAGGAGGTAAGACTATTTTATGAACTCATGTTATTTCAAATTTTCTTTTGCTAATTATTTCTGAATGCATTTCTCCATAAAAAAATGGTGTTTATGTATGCTTATTCATTTCCCAAGACAGTCCACAAAAAGGATGAATCATAACCTTAGAACTGTTTTATCTTTATTACTTCGATGAGTGTTTTTTGGAGAGGAGGTGATGTAGAAAATAAGTGTGTTTATAACAGTCACCTATAAAAAAATTCACATTCAGAGGCTGGGAATGGAGTTCAGTTGGTAGAGTGTTTGCTTAGCATGGATGAAGCTCTGGGCTTGAGCCCCAGCACTACATAAACTGGGTATGGCATAGCATGCCTGAAATTCAAGCCCTAGGGAGGTAGAGGCAGGAGGATCTGGAGTTCAAGGTCATCCCTGTCTACATAGCCAGCCTGGGGATGTATGGTACTCAGTATGTCAGAATACCAGGTAGCTTTGTCCCCATGTTTCCCTGAGAATGCAGAAGACAAAGGGAAGGCTGGGCTTTGGAAAGTTCTATTTTCTGAGACTTTATTTCAGGCTTAGTGTAGGCTCAAGAATAGGACAATAAAAAGGTCGTGTGTGTAAGAGAGAAGTCCATCTGACTTAGTTATTCATTTAAGGTCATGCAGAGTGAAGAATAATAGTGCATTAATGCTTATGAGACAGTAGTAGTTTAAACCAGATAAATGATAAAGTTCAAGCCACTCTTTCCAGAAGAGAACCCGGAGTTGCCATACTCCTCAAGAGTTCCTGGAAAACAATTTCATCTCACTTTCCCTTCTTCCCATCATAGCCACACAGAAGTTTGGGAATGAAACGAATCAATTGGAAAACCAAAATAAAAGTCAAATGAACCAAATTCTTTTCCCCTGTAAAGACAAACGTGAATGTATCTGTCATTAGTTTAATTTCAAAAGCACCCCCGTCTGGAAAGAAAACTTGCTCATTTGTTTAGAACGTCAGCTTCACTCTCAGGCTTTATGTGACTGCACATTAGGGATTTTCCCTGGCTAAATAGCATTAACACTCGTTAACAAGAAATGATTTTTATCTCCTCGCTTCTTACTCCCCCTTCTCCTGTTATTCTTTTGTGTTACAAAGGAAAATTTGTTTTGAAATAAAATTAATTGGAAATGCCTGGATGAGAGTTTAATTAAAGTCTCAGAGGAAGATAATTCTTTCTGGAGGTGACTCACACTAGTGACTTAAAACTGCAAAGGGTTTGATTAGTTCTAGCATTGTGCGATATTAAATCTGCTCCCTGTGTGGGTATGCTGGCCAGGAAATCAAAATTGGATGGGTCATGGACCACCTTAATCCTTCCTGCTAATGGGTGAGTTGGATGAATGTTGTTTACCTTATGATGCATACGCGTGGAAGGCCAGTACCAAGACACACTAAAAACAGAAGCACAGTTAACTGTTTAGAAATACAGCTAGATTCAAGAAAACTTGACTGAGAATCAACTATGTAAAGACTCTTATATTAAACGTTTCAAGGGTTAAGAAGATGTTTCCGGCCTTAGGGGCATTTGAAACAACAGAAGGGCACATTATATACCACATGCACTGCATCTTAGATCATTTTCCCATCATTGAAAAATATAGATGTGGGGCTAGAGAGATGGCTCTTGTAGAGGACCCCAGTTAGATTCCCAGCACACACATGACAGCTAGCATCCATCTGTAACTCCAGGTCCAGGGGAATCCTACAGCCTCTTCTGACCTCCCCAGGTATTGCATAA